ACCATAATGTAAGGTTATTTTTGTGTGGGTTCTGAGGATTGAATTCAAGTCCTCATGCTTGCAAGGCAAACAGTTCACCAACTGATCTATCTGCCCAGACCCAACAGTCACCACTCTCCATTTCCAGAGCTTTCCCATCATTTCCAGAACATTTCCAACTCAAAGCTATTGAACTGGGGCCAAAGAGATGGCTCAGCAGTTAAGAGTGCTTCCTGTTCTTCCAGAAGACTCAGTTTGGGTCACAGAATCCAAGTCAGGTGGCTCACAATTGTAACTCCAGTTCCAGGAGCTTCTCTTCTGGCCTCTGTAGGCACCTGTGCTCACTTGCACATACAACGTGTATATAAGTATGTAATGTAAGTATGCTGACACACATACATATAATTAAAAATATTTTTTTTCAGATAGGTTTTCACTGTGTAACCCTGGCTGACCTGGAACTCACTATGTAGAGCAGGCGGACCTCAAACTTGAGCAGAGATCCACTTGCTTCTGCTTCCCAAGTGCTGGGACTAAGGATGTGTGCCACAACAACCAACTAACATAATAAACTTTGGAAACTAAACAAACCATTGAACATCCAAATTGAACTTTTAATCAGAAACTTGGTGGTACCCATTGGTACAAACTCATCTTCCTCCACCAAAGTATTCTATCTGAATGAATTTGCCCATTTTTAACTACTTTGTATCAGTGGTTTCATTTATGTTTTTAAAGCAAAATGAAAGGCTTGTGTATGTTTCAGGGGCTTGAACCTGGGGCTGCACACATTCTTTACCAGTGAGTCCCCAACCTCAAGCCCTGCATGTCTATGAGAATCCTTTTTTGGTTTTACAATTTTTTTTTAACATATACGATGAATGTTTTGCCTGCATGTATATAAGTGCACCACATGTGTGCAGTGCCCACGGAGGCCAGAAGAGGTCATCAGATCCCTTGGAGCTGGAGTTATAGTTGGTTGTTAGCCATCATATGGGTACTGGGAACCAAATCCAGGCCCTCTGGAAGAACAGCAAGTTCTCTTAACCACTGAGCTAGCTCTCCATCCCTTTTTGGTTTGTTGTTAAAGACGGGTGTAATTTGAACCCAAGTCAACATAATATTCATGTATGAAAATATTGTAATAAAACCCATTATTTTGTATGCTTACTAAGAAAATAAAGGTGAGAGTTCCTAGCTCAGAAGGGAGTCAAATGTTTGCAGAGGCATGGTAAAACCAGGTACTATGTTTTAGGGTGGAGAGAAGGGACGTTGGAATAGAAGATGGGTGGAAGACTATGAAGAGAATCTTTTATCCAAATCGTTTTGCATTTTCTTTATGTCTGTATTATGTGTATGAGTACTTTGCCTGCATGTATTTAGGTGCACTCATGTTAGGCAATGCCCATGGAGGCCAGAAGAGGTGTTGGATCCCCTGGAACTGGAGTTATAGATGGTTGTTAGCTGCCATGTGGAAATCAAACCTGGGTCTTCTGCAAGAGTAGCCAGTGCACTTAACCACTGAGCCATCTCTCCAACCCTGCATTTTGAGACAGGGCCTCTCATGTAGTTCAGGCTGGCCTCAAACCTGCTATGTAGCCATGGAGAATCTTGAACTCCCAACACTCAGCCTATTCACTCACGTTTCCAGTTGGCCTTCAAATATTACTTTTCTTCAAGCCCTTGTGTACCTCTCTAAATCCTTCCCCAGCTAAACTAGCCAAGCATTAATATATAGGACAAACATTAATAAAGTATTGGCCTCTGTTATGTAGCTTGTATATTTCCTGCATATTTTGTTACCTCCAATAGACTGTAAGCATTTTAGAAGTTAGGAATGTCATGTCATGTTCAAGTATCTAAGAGAGTAGGAGGTGCAGATCAGTATTTTCTGAGATCAGATCAAGCACCCACAACACCTCCACATGTCTTTTTGTAGTAGTCAGAGGGGAGAAAAGAAGGCATAGATGCTGGCTGGCAGGCAGTGCTAAGAAGAGTCATAGGACCACAAACCTCTTTGAGAGCAAGCCAGAAGCAAACAGCATCTATACACTGGAAAAGCTAAGTAGCCACAACCAGTTAAGAGTAATCCTGAGAGTAAACTAGGGAATGCTGGTGAGGAAGTGATGTCCCATCTTCCTTCCAAGAAGGAAGCCTTTATTTTTCTTTGCTAGAAACATCAACTACAAATTCATTTGAGAAAACGTTTTTTAAAATAAAAACATCCTGAAAATGAGCAATAGGGAGTATTTAACTCCCACTGGTGAAGATCATTTATTCACCATTCAAAATATTTAAAACAATACTATGAAGGCAAGCAATTTTAGCTTTTAAGTTTTAAATTTTGTGTATGAGTGTATTGTCTGCATGTATGTAAGGGTACCTATGTCATGCAAATCCCACGGAAGTCACAGTAGAGGTCAGATCCCCTGGAACTGGAGTTACAGTTGTTAGCCATCATATGGTGCTGGGATTCAAACCTGGTCTTCTGCAAGAACAACTAGTGCTCTTAACCACAGAGCCCTCTCTCCAGCCCCAATTTTAGTTCTTTAGGATAGGGAGGGGATGTGATGTGTCCTGGTTAGTTTTTATTGTCTATTAGATATCACCTAGTTACTTGGAAAGAGAGAACAATTGAAGAATTGCCTCGATCAGATTAGGATGTGGCCATGTCTATAAAAGAGTATCTTGATTGATGAGTGATGTGGCACCATCCTTAGGCAGGTGGGCCTGCACTGTGGAAGAATGCAAGCTGGATCTGAGCCAGTGAGCAGTATTTCTCCAAGGTTTCTGCTTCAAGCTCCTGCCTTGAGTTCCTGCCCTAACTTCCCTCAATTATGAATTGTGACCTGGAAGTGAACTGGGGATGGAGGACTCTGGGCAGTCCTTTTTCTTTTTTTTTAAATAGAAGGAAGAGTTTGAGCTTACGGTTCCAGGGGAATTACAGTTCATCATGTCAGGGAGGCATGGTGGCTGGAGGTGGCTGGAGAGGGGGAGCAGAAACTAAGCTCTACATCTTCCAGCAGGCACAGGAAACAAGAGAGCAACTGGAGATCTGGCAAGGCTTAAGAATTCTCTAAGCCCACCCCCAGTGACATGCTTCCTCCAGGATAGCCACACCTTCTAAAACCTCCCAAAACAGTGCCATCATCTGGGGACAAAATGTCCAAATACTTAGAGCCTATGGGGGACATTTTCATTAAAACCATCACATTCCACCCCCTGGTCCCTGTAGCCTCTTGACCATATAAAATGCAATATGCATTTAGTCCAACTTTAAAAGTCCTCATAGTCATTATCAGTCTCAATACTATTTAAAAGTCCACAGTCCAAAGTCTCTTCTGAGACTCAGGTAATTATCTTAACGGTAAGCCTCTATAAAATCAAAAGACAAATTACATACTCCCAACATACAGTGGAACGGAATACACATTACCATTCCAAAAGGGAGGAATGGAGGCATAGTAAGGAAATACCTGACGAAAACAAGACTGAAAATCAGCAGGGCAAACACCAAATCCAGTAGCTCCATGTCCAACTTCTGGGACTTTACCTCCAAAGGGCTTAGATGGCTCAGCCTCTCTAGCTTTGCTGCATACAACACACATCTCTCTCGTGCTGGTACCACTCCCTGTGTGCAGGTCTTCTTGGCAGATGCCTCACAGTTCTGGCATCATGAACTTCTTGGGGTCTCCATTGCCAACCAGGCTTCACCTTCACAGCTTCACGAAATGGCCTATCAGGGCCTTCTCTAGGCAGGGGCAACCCTGCGGCATGCTGCCTGGCCTCAGCAGCTCTCTGAAACCGTGGAGGAAGAATTGATGACCACTTCACTCTTGCATTTTTCATGCCTCTAAAGCCAGCACCAGGTGAACAACAATGCCAAGTTTGACTGCAAGTTTGGGATGGACTCCAGCCTGCTTTATCCATTTTAGAAGCTTTTCTCTTCAGTGGCCCCTGCAGCATTTTCCTTTGACAAGTTGGAGGCTTAACTGGGTGTGGTCTTGCCCTGGAGGCACTCTCTCCATTGTTTTAAGTTTGAATCTCTAGGCCCCTCCTTAATCAATTTAATCTCCTTAATGGGATCCTCTACATCACATGCCAGGGCTCCAACATTTATCTTCTGTGCTGGATAGCTTTAGTGTCAACTTGACACACCTGGCTTGAGGGAGCCTCAATTGGGGAATTTCCTTCATTGGACTGGCCTGTGGCCATGTCTGAGGGGCACCTTCTTGATTGTTGAGTGTTGTGGGAGGGCCCAGCCCACCATGGGTGGTGCCACCCCTGGGAAGGTGGGCCTGTGTTGCATAAGAAAGCAGGCTGAGCAGGGACCAGGGGAGCAAGCCAGTAAGCAGTGTTCCTCCATGGCCTATACTCCAGCTCCTGCCTCCAGGTTCCTGCCCTGAGTTCCTACCTTGGGCTCTCAGATGAACTGTGACCCAGGAGATGTAAGCTAAATAAACCCTTTCCTCCCCAAGTTGGTATTGGTCATAGTGTTTTGTCACAGCAATGGAGAAACAAAGACATCTTCCTAGTGCTCTTTTTCAATCCAAACTATTTCTTTCTGCCCCATTTGCTCTTTTACTTTAGATCTGCATAATATTCACCATTAATAGCCACATCACTATTTCTACATTAGGCTGTCTTGAAATTTTTTCCACCAGAGAAATTAGTCCATTGCTTTTCAACTTAGCCTCAGGAAAGCTTTTAGGTTGAGGGCAAACTCCAGCCATACTCTTTGCCAAAATATTCCAAGTGCTGCTTACGTCCTTATTTCCCTCTGGAACTGCATTGTTCTCAGCACTGCTTTCTTCTAGGTGTTTACTAGAATGGCCTGTTAAGCTCTGCTTACAGCAATCAACCACTTTTCCAGCCCAAACTTCCAAAGTCTTCCACATTTCTTTAAAACCCCACATGGTCTGGTTCTTCACAGCCAACAGCCCATCTCTGGTATCAACTACTGTATCAGTCACTTTTCTGTTGCTGCGATAGAAACACTGACTCAAGCAATTTATAGAAGGAAGAGTTTATTTGAGCTTATGGTTCCAGGGGAATTACAGTCCATCATGTCAGGGAGGCATGGTGGCTGGAGAGGAGGAGTGGAAACTAAGCTGTACATCTTCCAGCAGGCACAGGAAACAAACGACTCTGGGCAGTCTTAATGATGGGTTGGTGAAGAAATTTGAAGGCATAAAAACAATGGGAGCTGTCCAAAGTAAAAGCCTGCATTTTAAAAAAATATGGCTGGGCCTTTAATGAACCCAAGAGGGAGGCTACTGGGGATGTCAGACTATAGACAACAGTATCTGTGGGACCAGGCCCAAAATTCCAGGCAAACTGCAGACAGAACAAAGACACCAACTGGCTACGAATCTGGTGAATTGTATCTGGCACATACTAGAATGAGGAAGAATCAACAATCCTGGCACGCAAGGAGAGCCAGTCACAGGTACCTAGTTGGTAGAGGTAAGATATGCTAGGTAAATCATACCTTGAACTTGTCCTAATGCACTCAACTGATGTATTTCCTGTATTTTTCCAGACAGGGTTTCCCTGTAGCTCCAGCTCGTCTGGAACTATGTAGAACAGGCTGGCCTAGATCTAAAGGAGATTCACCTGCCTCTGTCTCTGGAGCATTGGGATTAGAGGCATAAACTGCCACACACCCAGAACCTTCCCTTTTCTTCATTTTATGGATTTATTTACTTGAGACAGGATCTCTACAGCCTAGGATAGCATCTAATTCAAGGCAATCTTGCTGCCTCAGTCTCCCAAATTCATTAATCACAATACATAAGTCACCACAAAGATGAAAAAAAAAAGGCCATTTTCATTCCCCAGAGTTAACAGAGCATTAATAGTCACAGAAATATTTATTTCGATAGTACTTAAAATAACCAACAGAAGTGATTCAGATTAAAAGCTCCAGATGTATTCTCAGTAGGGGTTGCTACTGTGTATACCTTCACCCCTTTATTAAGCCAAAACTTCTAGAAATTTCAGAAGGATAGGATATGTTCCAAAGCTGGAAGGGGACAGCATAGCTCCTCAGTGATGTCTCCCACACAGCGCATGTGCTGTCTTGAAGGGTGCTTCCCATGCATCTGAGTGAGAGCCTCTAGATCCTTCATGGTGGCTGGTTGAGTTTCCTGATTCTAATGTTCCATGCTTTGTTGCCCAAGAGGTGGAGTCAAATTTCCAGTGCCTCTCTTGTAGGCCTCCATTAGCTACATGTGAAGCTCAGGAGAGCTGGGGAAATCTGCTTAGAGGAGGAACACCATTCCAGCAGAACTGTCCTTAATCAGATTAACTACTGAGGAAACTCTTTGTACATTGGGGATGGTGAGTCCTCGAAGATCATGGCCAGGAAGATATCCTAAATGGCTTCCTCTGAATTTATCCCCACAAGGGAGCCATCAGGCCACTTGCCTTTTATTACATTTCTAACAGTTGCTCCATTTCCTTCAGGACCATAGTAAAATCACTGGCTTGATCATTACATAAGGTCTGCTGTTCCAGAAATCGGACTCTTTCTTCCTCTTTCAACTTCAACTTTACCTTTAAAGCCTAGAAGGAAAGATATTCCAAAAGAAAAAACCATTAAAAACTCTTGACTCACAAGAAAGTCAATACCTACACCAGAACATCATGCTAGCTGGGGCTACCCTGTGTCAAAAAAGACAAATAATAAAAAAACAAACAGAAGCCAGGCACAGGGGCTAGTGAGGTGGCTCGGTGGGTAAAGGCACCTGCTGCCAAGCCTGATGACTTGAGTTTGATACCTGGAGCCCACATAGTAGAAGGAGAGAATCAACTCCTGCAAGCTGTTCTGACCTCATGTGTGCTATGGCATCCATGTGTGTATACACACACACACCACACAAATGCAATTTTAAAAAATTCTGGGAGTGATGGCATACACCTTTGATCCCAACAGAGGCAGGCAGATCTCTAGAGTTCAAGGCCAGCCAGGACTGCATACTGAGACCCTGTGTGTCTGTCTCTCACATACACACAAAGTAGAAAAGCCTTTCCTCCATAACCCTGCCTACTGTGGTAGGAAATGACAACGCTGTCTCATGGTGGTCTGCCCTCACCTGTAACTCCTCCATCTGCTTCTTGGCAGTTTCATTGAAAATCTTCAGCTCATCTTGCAAAGTTCCTAACAGCAGCTAGGAGGAAAACAATGTAGTGAACAAATCTCCATACAGAATGAAGTTGAATTAGAGGGTGGCTATTGTCCTTTCCAGCCATGTCACTTACTGAGCCCTGAATGAACATGCTGGGCTCGCTACTGGGCCCCTCTGAGAAGCTGAGCCCACTGAGAGCAAGATTCTGTTTATCTGTGCTGCTTTAGGAACTGTTCTTCTATACTAGACTCCTTTATGTAGAGCAATGAAATCCTCTGTGTCCCATTCAATACCCCACCATTTATCCAGGCAATCTCAGAGTCCAGCCCCAAGAATCTACCTTTCTTACTACAAAGCCTCTTCCTTGAGATATCAAGTTCATTACTAAAATGTGCTCTGTGCCACGGACCTCAGGAAAAAAATGTGGCAGTCGCAGATGGAAACTGGAGGCGGCTTCTTTGGCTGGCATGCTAAGATGACAACTGATCTTCCTGGGGAGGAGATCATATCAGTTTGGAAGTCTTTATGCCCAAATGGATTACTTCCCTTTAGGGAAGGAACCAAAAAGAAACTAGGAATTCAAGTTTAACAGGATAGAACTTGGCATTATGGCATTCTCTCAGTAATGGAATGGGGGAGAAATTTGGTGAAGTGTTGAATAGAGAAATCAGTAAGGTCTCTCTCTATTCAAGTTCATTCTACTGGCCAGGCATGGTGGCGCAGGCCTTTAATCCCAGCACTTGGAAGGCAGAGGCAGGTGGATCTCTGTGAGCTTAAGGCCACCCTGGTCTACATAGTGAGTTCCAGGTTAGCTGGGGCTACAGGGAGACCCTGTCTCAAAAAAGACAAAACAAACAAACAACCCCCACCCCGCAAGTTCACTCTATTAAAGTTTGTGTCTGTGTATGTGTACGCACACAGGTGTATGTATGGTATGTGGTCCATTTACAGTGGTGAGAGTCAACCCTAGGACATTATGCATAATAAGAACTCTATCACTAAGCCCTATCTCTAGACCCCTATTTATGTGGGTTTATGTGGTAAACGTATGTGTTCCTGTGGGTGTGTGCATGCACGTGTGCAGGTGCAAATTCATGTGGAGGCCAGAGATCATTAATAGGTCTCTTAAAAAATTTCTTTCCAGCTGGGCGTGGTGGCGCATGCCTTTAATCGCAGCACTTGGGAGGCAGAGGCAGAGGCAGAGGCAGGCAGATCTTTGTGAGTTCGAGGCCAGCCTGGTCTACATAGTGAGTTCCAGGACAGCTTGAAATTCATTTTTAAAAATATTAGCTGGGCGTGGTGGTGTATGCCTTTAATCCCAGCACTCGGGAGGCAGAGGCAGGCGGGCCTCTGTGACCTCTGTGAGGCCAGACTGGTCTGCAGAGCGAGTTCTAGGCCACCTGGGGCTACAGGGAGACCCTGTCTCAAAAATACCAAAAAAAAAAATTACTATTTTTTTTTTTTTTTCAATGCTTGGATGTCACAGCACATGTAGAGGTCAGAGGACAACTTTGTGGAGTTCCATCTTCCATCTGTGTGTGGGTTCCAGGGATCAAACTCAGGTGGGTCAGTGACAAGTGCCTATGTGACAAGTGCCTTCATCCACTGAGCCATCTCGCTGGCCCTTTTCCCACTTAACATTTTTTAAAAAATTTATTTATTGTGTGTGTGCATGTGCATTCATGTACCACGATGTGTTCATGGAGGTCAGATGGCAACTCTGAGGAATAGGTGCTGTGTAGCAATTTCCTGATATAAGGCACTTCATCTTGGAGAGAAGCTGCTTAAGACTCAGGATGTCCTAAGGTGAAGTGAAACATCCCATCCTGGAGGGAAGCTCATCAAGCTCAGGAAGTAATAGCTCAATAGCTTTAGGAAGTTGCAGAAACTGACAAGATGCACTAGGCCCCTCTCTTCCTAAGTATAAACACATAGTCAGGGCTGCTAAAAGACATGCAGACCAGCTAAGCTGCCTGGAAGATACTCAGACCAACTGAGGTACCTGGAAAGGACAGTCTCCACCCTGTTGAGCTGCCTGCAGGTTGTGCAGTACATCCCAGTTTCCTGCTTTACTGGCTGTCACCCATGCTGGAGCTGGGGTGGGCTTTTGGTAATGCAGCTGTTGGTGAGACATTTCTGCTACTGTAAGCAACCCTTCACTCATCCTCCTGTAAGGAACCCCAATAAAACTCACTGGTTCACCAAGTTGGACTTTGGTAGTCCCTTTACTTCCCATACATGATTCTTCTCCCCAGGATTAGTCACTCAACAGTTGGTTTCCTCTTTCCATCATGTAGGTTCTGGCAATTGCCTTCATGTACTGAGCCATTGTTTTTTTGTTTCTTACATGCATATATTTACATGTGTGGAAGGGGAGGACAGGTTCATGCATGTTACTGTGTGGAGTTCAGAGAACAACTTGAAGGGGAGAACTGGCTCCTGTTTGCGTGTGGGTCCCAGGGACTGAACTCAGGTCATCAAGCTTAGCAGTAAGCATCTTCACCTGCTGAGCCATCTCACCAGTCAGTCTCCATTTTATTTGAGATAGGGTTAACCTGGAGCTCATCAATTCACTAGGCTGGTCAGTCAATGAACTCCAGGGATCTACCTGTCTCCACTCCTCCAGCACCCAGCTTTTATGTGTTTTAGTATATTTTCAGTTCAGATTCACACATCTGTACACATAAAGCTATCTTGCAAGTCAACTATGCTATTAGGTGCACAGTCCACTGTTGTTGTCTACTGTCATGGACAAGCAAAGTCAGCATGTAGCCGAGACCTCTTTAGCCTGTCAGTCCCCCCGACTGAGGGGCCCTGCCCATTCACACTCATGCCTCACCATGGAGTCCGTGTGATCAGCAGTGGATTCCTGCAGTGATGCCAGGGTCTCATGACCTAAAATGGATGGATACAACAAGGTCAGCCTCACCTGGGAACCACACCTTAAACTGAAGGAAAAAAAAAGCCCTCCATGGAGGCCTAAGTCCAGGCATATTCCTGAGGGAAACTTCTCCAAGTATCTGTTCCAGGATGTTCTCTCCCATGACTACATCTCCCACACGTGCTTTCCAGAGCTCTTTTCCCCACAGAACTGTAGCTTTAGGTTTGCATATGGCCAAAATTTATTCTGTTCTCCTAAGCTCAGGAGAAATTTATTCAGAGAAAATGTTAAGATTTTGTTTTGTTTATAATATACCAAATTATTTTTAAGTCTTTAGGCCTTAAAAATTATTGCATTTGGCAACAGTGTATGTGCATAGTAAAAACGGGCAAAAATGTGCCAGGCATGGTGGCACATGGCTTTGATCCCAAAACTTGGGAGGCAGAGGCAGGTAGATCTTTGTGAGATTGAGGCCAGCCTGGTCTACACAGAGTTCAAGGCCAGCTGGGGCTACAGAGACCCTGTCAAAATCCAAAACAAAACAAAACAAAAAACAAAAAAAAAAACCCAAAAAACAAAAACAAAAAACATGGCAGGAAGATCCAAAATTCAAGGCCAGCCTGCATTACATGGCAAGACCTTGTTCCAAAAACCAACAAAAATTTCCTGCCAGTCATCTTACAGGCTTTGGAGAATTCTTTCTTCTACTCACTTCTTTACTATTGATTTTGCTTTTTAGGAGTCAGTGTTTTCTTTTGGGTACTGAGCTAGAAGCCAGGGCCTCCCAACATCCTAAGCACAGATTCACCATGGAGCTATACCCCAACCCAGCAGTCACAATGCAGCACTGTGGCGAACCTAACTTAGGAATCCTTGAGACCATATTTTTCTCCCTGCTGCCACCTGGAAGTTATCAGTAAGCTTTCTACCTCCCTTGAAGAAAACTGTTTCTGGTTCCTTCACAAGGTCATACCTGCTGGAACCAAATGAATGACCCAGTGTTCAGATAAGAGAAGTTTCTCAAGACCACCTCAAATTCTATTGGTCAGGCAGAAAAGGACACCTCATAAGAATACCAAGAAACTCCCAAAAATCTTTAGGGTTCTACTAAGTGGCTGCTGCACCCACAGGGCAAATGATGCCACGCTGCCAAAGTCACCCCAGGAAAGGCACCTGTACATACTCTTTGGAGCTGTGTGCTGTCTCTTACCTGGGTTGAGGCCTTTGCTCTCCAAAATTGCTAAACAGCTGTCCTGAAACTTCTCCAGTAGCTCCACTTTCTGAGTTAGGTCCTTCAGTTCTCCCTATGGGAATGTCACAGACAGATCAAGAGCCATCCCACAGTGGCTGATCTTCCTTGCTTGCACTCTTGGTGAGCCATAGCGGGATAGCCACTCTCTATCTTGCTCCCACCCAGCAGGATTCCATAGGCATTGCCAAATGGCAGCTGATGAATAGGTCTGGTGGGCTTCTTACCTGAGTTTCAGCCAACTTCTGGTGTAACTGCTTGTTGACAGCCTCTAGGAGCTGGTTTTTATCCTTGAGCTCTTCCTCTGATTTTTGCTTACTCAATGGTTTATAGCTGGAAGAAAGGTGCATTAATAAAGATGTAGAGGGATTAAGAGTACAGGTTTCTAGGGGCTGGAGAGATGGCTCAGTAGTTAAAAAACTGGTTGTTCTTGCAGAAGACCCAGGTTCGAATCCCAGCACCCACATGGCAGCTAACAACTGTCCGTAACTCCAGTCCCAGGGGATCCAACAGCCTCTTCTGACCTCCGTGGACACTGCACGACACGGGTGCACTTACCTACATGCAGGTAATACACGCATACACGTAAGATTTTTAAAAAACACAAAAAACAAAAACAAATAAAAGAGTACAGGTTTCTGAGTTATGCAAATGGGCTTCAATTCTGGCTCCTGACACAGTGGTTTATAACCCAAGGCTCTGTTTCCTCATTTCTAGAAAGAAGACAATACCTATATTTCATAATATTATAATAAAGAATAAAAGAGACAATCCATGTACAAAACTTAACCCATCTGCTGACACATGGCAAACACATAAATAAATAGCTACTGTCATCTTTAATATTAAACCTTCACTTTGAACATTTTTGTTTGTTTGTTTTTGGTCTTTTTGAGACAGGGTCTCCCTGTAGCCCCAGCTGACCTAGAACTTACTAAGTAGACCAGGCTGGGCTCGAACTCACAGAAATCGACCTGCCTCTGCCTCCCGAGTGCTGGGACTAAAGGCATGTGCCACCAAGCCCAGCCTTACTTTGAACATCTCGAGTGCTAGTATCCCGTCTTGTGTTGAGGCTGGAGAGATGGCTCAACAGTTAAGAGCACTGGCTGCTCTTGCAGAGAACCCTGGTTCTGTTCCCAGCACCTACAATCCAGCTAACAACTGTTAACTCCAATTCCAAGGAATCCAGCATTCTCTTCTGACCTCTGCAGGCATTACATGATATAGGTGCACTTCATACATGCAGGCAAAACACACATATACATAAAAAAATAAGAGGGGCTGGAGAGATGGCAAAACACTCATATACATAAAAAAATAAGGGGCTAGAGAGATGGCTCAAGTGGTTAAGAACACTTGCTGCTCTTGCAGAGGACCCAGGTTCAGTTCCCAGAACCCACATAGCAGCTAACAACTGTCTGAGACTCCAGTTCCAGAGGATCCGACAGCCTCTTCTGATCTCTGCAGGCACTGCACAACATAGGTATATTTACATACATGCACTCATACACATAAAATAGTATTTTTTTAATGCAAAAAATTTTTTAATTTGTATGGTATGTATGATATACATATGTGCACACATATGCAAAAGTCAGAGCAGGATGTCAGGTGTCTTCCTCTATTGCTTCTATCTTATTCCCTTCAGACAGGGTCTCTTCCTAAATCTGAAGCTCACTTTTGGTTAGACTGGCCAGCCAGCAAGCTCCTGGGATCTACTCATCACTACCCCCTAATACTGGGGTACAGATAGGCATGGCTATGCCCAGCTTTTTCACATGAGTGCTGGGGATTTGAACTCAGGTCCTCATGCTTTCACTGCAAGCGCGCTTACTCACTAAGCCATCTCTTCAGCCCCAAAACTTCAGTGTTTTTTTTCCCCCCCAAATAATCCAAGTTTCCCTCTATAACCCAAGTTTGCCTAGAATTCACCTATATAGCCCAGGATGGCCTTGAACTTGTGTTGATCCTCCTGCCTCAGTTTCCCAAGTATGTGATTGTGGGAGACAGGCTTGAACCTAGGGTGAAAGTCTTATTGACAACCATACAGCAGGCCTGAGGAGCCTTGTGACATTTGTTCCCATTGGCAGATCATGAGACTGATGCCTAGAGCTCACCACTCCCTAATCACCACCCTTGGAATTCCAAATTGCAACACTTAGATATTGCAACAGTCAGGGTCAAGTGGTTTCCAGGAATCCAGGCTCTGTAATCTGAAACCCATTATGCTAATGAGGCATCCTACCCGCTATCTGTGATAGGACGTTAAGTCTGTTATGCTAATAGGACGCTAAGTCTGTTATGCTAATAAGGTATCCTACTTGCTGTGCTGTGATTGGACCACTACCCCTATATAAGCTTGTGCCTTCCTGAAATAAAGCAGACCTGTGTCACTGAACCTGGTCTCCTGTGTCTGAATGCGGCTCCACTGACACAGTCTCCTCACCAGCCCTGGGGTCCGGGACTGGGCAGAAACAGCAATAATTGGAGGCAGCCCAGGGCAGGCAGAAGAGCGGCCTCAGCCCAGGGCGAGCAGAGGAGCAGCCTTGATGCCCGTGAGAACAGAGGAGCGGCCGCTGCTAGTGGTGACCACATGTGATTATAGGTGTAAGACACCACACCTGGAAGAATTTTTAGTTTTTTTGAGACAGGGTCTCACTATAACAGCCCTGGCTAGCCTTAAACTCCTGATTCTCCTGACTCAGCCTCCCTAGAACTAGGATTACTGGAACGTACCACCATGACCAGCTCATCTTCAAAATTTTGTAATTATGTATTTATTTTTATTTTATGTGTATGAGTGTTTTGCTTGCATTTAAGTGCACCCATATAGAGCAATGCCCATGGATGTCAGAAGAGGGCATCAGATCCCCTGAAACTGGAGTTATGGATAGTTATTATCATTGAGTGCTGAGAACCGAACCCAGGTCCTCTGCAAGAGCAGCCAGTGCTGTTACCCACTGAGCCATCTCTCCAGCCCCCATCTTTAAGATTTTTAAGACATAGCTGGTTGTGGTGGCTTATATCTTATAGCCCAAGCACTTAGGAGGTTAAGGCAGGATTGTTGCATGTCTAAGGCTAGCCTGTGTTACATAATGAGTTCTAGGCCAGTCTGGGCTACATACACAGTGAAATCCTATCTCAGAAACAAACCTTTCTTTGTGACAAGGTCTCACTATGTAGTACTGGCTGGCCTAGAACTAGATATATAAAGACCTGGCTATCCTCACATTTACAGAGATTCATTTGCCTCTGCTTCCTGAGTGCTGAGATCAAAGGCAGGTACTGCCATAGCTGGCTAAAAAAAACCTTTTAAGACATGCTCATCTAATAGATTTGGAATTAGAACTTGTATGTACAAATATTTTATTATTTTTGTTTTCAAGACCACAGAACTTCCAACTAGCCCGAAACACAGAGATGGGTTTAGAATTTTACTGTCAAGCCCTACTTCTACTACCCAAATATTTATCTTGACATCAATAACCACAGGTGGCCTTCCTACTCCAAGGCTTCACACTGCTGTCAGTGTGTTATGAGCAGTAGTCTTGGCAGGAAGCCCCAAACCTCAAGATGACGACACCACTGATTCCTGCTGACAATGGCTCTCACATCCGGCTCTGCCTTATCCCTGCAAATTCCTCTCAGGTACGTAGGTGGTATCCACGCTTTGACACATCAGACAAATCCTACTAGTGATTCCAATCTATATCCATGACTTCAACCTGTCACAAAATGGTGTCCAAGTTAGTTTACTCCAAGCTCACCCCTTTCTCATGTTCCTCCTGATGACAGTCTCTGCAGCTTTCGCCTGCCTAGAGAAGCAAAAACAAGGAAACTGATCAGAGGACCACAGCACTCTGTCCTATAAATAAGGTACAACAGAGAGCCTGGCTTCCCTGCAGTTCCTGAGTGAGGATTTAAGCTCCCAATTCTCCTGCCTCAGACTCTCCAGTTCTGGAATTACAGGCATGTGTGTGCTGTAAGACCTGGATCAGAGACTGAGTTTCTGAGGAAAGAACCAAAGAGTACATCCAAAGTAAAGAGCACCAGCTTGGGGGCTGGAGAGATGGCTCAGTAGTTAAGAACACTGGTTGTCCTTGCAGAAGACTTGGATTCGAATCCCAACACCCACATAGCAGCTAACAACTGTCCGTAACTCCAGTCCCAGAGGATCTGACAGCCTCTTCTGACCTCCGTGGGCAGTGCACAACATGGGTGTACTTACCTACATGCAGGCAATACATGCATACACATAAAAGTAAATAAATTTTTTTTAAGTTAAAAAAAAAGAGCACAGGCTTGAAAGCCTAAGTGATTATACATGTTGATTTCAGCTGATGTGGGAAAATGGCTTATTAAGAAAGGGCTCTCTTCCTGATCACACCAACACCCTAACAGACCTGCTCTTGCTCCAGTCAGCTTGGTCATCTCATGTCAACCACACTCACCTAGGGAGGGAACTCTGGTTAAGGACAAACATGCTACATCCTGGGGCTGGACTCTGCTCAGACTCACAAGCAAGGTTCACAGCTAGCCAAGGCTTCATCGTTATGATTGCAGCCAGTGCTGCTGGTATACTCACAGCAAGTGTGACAGAAGAACAGCTTTTTCAGAGCCCTTACTGTGTCATCAGAAAGGATCAACAGAGGGTTCCCATAAATGGTTCAGCAATACTGCAGGGTGCTGGGTCCTGGCCCATAGGCTGTCAAGAGTCTTGTCCTTGTTTTTTTGAGACAGAAGTCTCTCATACCTATATTTGTATCTGTCCTAGTTTCTCCATTGCTGTGACAAAACACTCTGACGAATACCAACTTGGGGAAGAAAGGATTTATTTGGCTTACATCTCCCGGGTCACAGTTCAACAATTCATCAGGGAGGCCAAGGAACTCAGGGCAGTAACCTGGAGGCAGAAGCTGGAGCACAGGCCATGGAGGATCGCTGCTTACTAACTTGCTCCTCTGGCCCCTGCTCAGCCTGCTTTCTTATGTAACACAGGCCCACCTGCCCAGGGGTGGCACCATTCCCAGTGGGCTGGGCCCTCCCACATCACTCAACAATCAAGAAGATGCTCCACAGACATAGCCACAGGCCAGTTCATTGGAGGCACTTCCCCAATTGAGGCTCCCTCAACCCAGGTATGTCACCTATCCAGCACAATATCTATATTCTTGGTGCTCAGTAATCTCTAGAAAGATCTCGAGACCTCCCCACGCCCCCATAGCTGCTGGGGATCCAACTCAGGGTCTTGAACATGCAAGGCAAACACTCTGAACCTGAGCTACACCCCAGCTCTAGCATGATGTTCTACCTGGATGCCAATGATCTGATCTGCTCTTACCCATTCTCTCACCTCAATTTGGTGACTTTTGTAATATCGTTCTCTGAACTCCCTGAATGAAGCTGTCTGGACACATCGACTTCTTTGAACTTAACAGGTAATAGACTCTTAGAAGTAGCTCGAGTTTGTGCATCTGAAAGGGGAAACAAGAGAATGAAACCACAGCATTATGACCTAACAACTGCAGTCCTGTACCAAACAGAGCCCCACACCAAGTTATTGGAAGCCCTATTTTCATACTAGCCAATCTCAATGTATGAATGAAGGTTACCTCCAAAGAATAAAGACTACACTAATTGATATTAGAAGCCAAAATCCTTTTGAGATACAGTTTCACTCCATACCTCTGGCTGGTCTTGAACTCAGTATGAAGACAGACCGGTTATGACTTATACCAATACTCCTGACTCTGCCTTGAATGCTGGGATTACGGGTGTGCACCAACATGCAGTTTCCAAATTCTTTTTTAATATTTTATCTTATTTTGGTCTTTTTGAGACAGGGTCTCCCTGCAGCCCCAGCTGGCTTTGAACTCACAGAGATCCGCCTGCCTCTGCCTCCCAAGTGCTGGGACTACAGGCGTGCGCCACCACGCCCAGCTAATATTTTATTATTATTATTATTTTATGTGTACAAGTGTATTGCCTGCATGTATGGGAGTACACCCATGTTGTGCAATGCTGCAGAGGTCAGAAGAGGGATTCGGATTCCCTGGAACTGGAGTTAAGGATGGTTTGTAGCCACCATGTGGGTGCTGGGAATCGAACACAGGTCCTCTGCAAGAGCAGTCAGTGCTCTTAACTGCCAAACCATCTCTCCAGCCCCCAGTTTCCAAATTCTTTACATGTGACAGTTCAGTGTGCTCGATGATATATCAAACATAGAGGCTACAGAGTATGTATACATGAGAGGGTGATACAAACACAACTGAAGGCCGAGTAGAAACTAGCAGGCAAAATCCAGCTGATTCATCCACCACCACAGAACTGCCCCATATTGTTAAACTCCTGATGCTCATTCTCCCTAGACAAGCAACATCCAGCTGCTTTCTCTTAAGTGTTGCCTACTTTCAAATGTTTCCTAACCACTCTAAAAGACATCTTTGTGTCCTTGTGCCTAATAAAGCATCTGGCATAAGACCAGAAGCTCCACAACCACAGGTGGAATAGATGAAACACTTTTCAGCTGCAAAGGCTGCTTTACAACCCTTCACTTCCCAAACTCTCCTCTTTCCCTCTTCCAGGCTATTACCCTACCACTAACCCTTTTCTTTTGTTGATTGTTAAATTTAGAGTTTCCTATTTGGCATTCCTCCTGATCTTCTTACTGGGCAGGGCTGATAACTCCTCCATCATGCAGTTTAGCATTTACATGCCTTAGCAAATTCAAGCACCCTATTCAGGAGTTAAGCATCTTTCTCTCCCCACTACTCCCACATCTCACCCTCCTTTTCTATTTCTTTCTAGTCCAGGGTTTTCTAGATTATGTGAACACCTTGTTTACTGTTAAATGGCTCCCTTAAACTGGATCCATGTTAAAAACCATAATAATTAAATAATCAAGTTGAAGAAAAGAGGTACAAAGTGCTGGATCGTATGGTAAAAATTTTGTATTTAATAAAAATTTTATTCAAATAATTTGTGTACAACAATTTGGAATAAATCTAATCCCACAGGCTAATACACGATTTTGTTTCTAGGTATATTCACAGGGTACTAGAACTCTATTTTCAATACTTACAACACTATGCAACTATTAAATGGATTCTTTTGAGGTGTCGGTCTAAAGTAAAAAGTAACTTCGTGGGAACATATTTATCTCGAGTTATTACAATAATAAATCTATCCATGTAAAAGTGTTGACAGTAAATTGAAAAAACAATGCTTCGTTCATTGACTAGAATCAGTTCCAACAATCTGTATTTGCTGGAACCTAAGGATCATACTGTACGAAAAGAAAATGTTTTGTAAAACTTAACAAAGATGGTCTTCCAAGAATGGAAGACACTAAGGAGAACTGGAGGCTAGGGTTGAGGAACCTGCCAAACTTGCTCATTTGTTTTTTTAATTTATTATTTTTATTTTTTGTGTCTGAGTGTTAATGCCTGCATGTAGGTAAGTGCACTCGTGTCGTGCAATGCCCGCGGAGGACAGAAGAGGCTGTTATATCGCCTGGAACTGGAGTTCGGACAGTTGTTAGCTGCCATGTGGGTGCTGGGATTCGAACCCAGGTCTTCTGCAAGAACAGTCAGTGTTCTTAACCACTAAGCCACCTCTCCAGCCTCCTCAAGTTTTTTGTTTTTTTTTTTCTGAGACAGGGTCTGGATATGTAGCCATGGCCTATAACTCATTATGCAGACCAAGCCAGCCTTGAGGCCTTGAATTTGCATCCATTGTGTTTCCTCAGCCTCCAGAGTATTGAGGCCACAGGTGTGTGCCATGCCCACCTTCATTCTCTATCTTATATATTCCTTTGTGGCTGAGTCCGCTTAAAAACATTAAACTGTGCCTATACATGTGATCATAAAGCTAGGACAGGGATGGAAAGCAGAGCAATGAAAACATGCAACCTGGCTAGAAAGCCAGTCACTGCCAGTTGACTGAGGGGCACTGTGTGTGAGGACCACCAGCAGAGTGGGGAGACCTGGCTCCATTCCTCCAGCAATGCCCAGTCCAGCTGACCCCATGATTACTCAGGTGTTTGAGGTGACACAAGACAAAAAGAGCAATCCTTCAAGCCTTGGGAAAAAAAGCCTATTGACTTTAAAGACCAATCCTGCCACTGCTCTTCCATCAACCGAGCATGGAAAGAGATCATAAAAAGCTACTCCATAATCCCCACAACAGCTTCCTGGTACCCAGACCTCCTTCCATGCTTGTGCTGTAAGCTCTAGATTAGGCAGCTAAACCACTACAGACACTACAAGATGATTTTCAACCACAAGAAAATAAACACAAAGCAAGATGGTAAAGCAATTACAAATTGTTTTCAGTGGGGTTTCTCTTCTTGTCTCTCAAAGTTCTCAGTAATTTGCTAGTCCTGGCCCTTCTCTTCCACTCAACAATTACCAACAATATGCTCAGGAGAACCACTGTGCAGAGATTTGTGTGACTAAGGAATCCTAGTGCTTTCCTCCAAGCATTCCACTTCTCAAATGATTCAACCAACCCTAATCTGGAAAGAAAAAGGATAATAGCATAAAAAGACATTTCTAGCCAGGTATGGTGGTACACACTTTTAATCCCAGCACTCAGGAGACAGAGGCAGGTGGATCTCTGAGAGATCCAGGTCAACCTGGTCTACTAGCCAGTGTGGTGACAGAGCTAGAAATCTTACCATGAGGGAAACTGAGGTTAAGATTGCTATGAGCTCAAGGCTAGTCTGGACTACATGATGAAATCCTGTTTTGTTTTTGTCTTTAAATCCTGTTATTTTTTAAGTTTTTGGATCCACTTGGCAGCATAGGGGGATCACAGAGGTGGAAATGGGTAGGAACAGGGGCTCTTTCCCAAATTTTATCATTATAAGCCTATACAGCCTGGTTCCGGAAGGGCTAGCAAGTTGTCTGAGCCCCCGGATGCCCTTCCTTGGGCCCCATTTCCAAACACCGATTCAGATCCCCGCAGTCCGGGCTGCTGATACCCCTGGCCAGTCCAGAGCCCGGGCTGGCGGCTGTGCACACCCACCTGCTGGCTGGGTGCCGTTCGGCCGGGAGGCGTGCGCGCAGCACACCGTCTTTACCACACTGGTCATCGTCACGAGGGGGATTGGCGGGCCCTGGAGGGTGCAAAGTGAATGGCATCAGCTCCCCCGCCCGCGCAGGCTGGGGAAGGGCGCACCCCGCCCGGTCGGCTCTGAGTCCGCGGGAGGCCTCTGGTTTCCGCCCAGCCGGTCACCCTACGCTCCCAGCCCCGACCCCGCAGAGCGAACCCGGTCGCCTGGTGCGCCCGCCTGCAGTCCCCGTAGCTCTTGTTCAGAAGCTCTGCAGCAACCGCCCAGCCATCTGCCAAGCCTACCGCCTCGCTTTCAAAAGGAAACTTCCGGTGGCTGGGCGGGAGGGGGCGTGGTTCGCATTCTGTAGGCGGCCTTGCTGTACGGAAGACTCTCTCCTGGTCCATGGGAACCGCCATTCTGTACGGAAGATCCGAGCCGCGTTGTCAAGGCTGGCAGAGGGACGCACTTGGCAGGCTGGAAAGGAGCTACTGAGTCATGGTGTCACACTGTGGGCTGGAGGTGGAAACATGAGCACGCTTAGCGTCCAAGTCACAATCCTCTTTATTTGGTCTGCGACTGTTAAGGATACTGCCGGGACTACAGGTTATCGGAATGAAACTTGCAGAAAGCACGTGGGATGAAATGCTTTAAAAACTTGTATCCTAATTTAGTTAGCGATTCAAAGTTACTCAGGCTAAACAGCAGAGTTCTCAATCATTCAATGCTCATTCACTTCACTTAAAAAAAAATACTCTGGAGGTAGAGGCAGGTGGATCTTTGTGAGATGGAGGTCTGCATAGTGCATTCCAGACCACCTGTGGCAACAGCAACATCCTGTCTCAAAACAGTGGTGGTGCACGCCTTCAGGAGGCAGAGTCAGGTGGATCTCTGTGAGTTCAAGTCCAGCCTGGTCTATATAGCAAGTTCCAGGCAGCTGGGGGTTACAGGGAGACCCTGTCTCAAAAAAGACCAAAAACAAATAAACAAAAAATAAACAAGAAAAGAAGGGGGAGGAAAGGAGAAAAAATACTCATGGAGCACCTACTATGTGCTAAACACAAAGTGGGTAGATGATGGGGGTGAGGGAGAGCAAATATTAGGATGAACCTTAGCTCTGCCCTCTTGGAGTTTACAATCTAGGAAATAGACACTAAACAATCACAAATATATATGTGTGTGTATATAGTATATAATTTATGGTAACGCAATGAAAGAAAAACACAAGATACTGTGAGAGAGAAAAGCAGAGTACTGATTAAATTGGAAAGCAGCGGGCATGGTGGGTCACACCTGTAATTCCAGCAAGTACTCAAGAGACTGAGGCAGGAGGATTGCTCTGAGTTCGAGGTCAGCCTGGGCTACATGGTGAATTCTAGACCAGCCACAGAATAACAAGACTGCCTAAATCAATAACTAAGATTTAGGCATGTTTGATTCAGGAAGGATGAACAATGGGAGAGAGGTACAAAGTTCCAAGGCAGAAATGGGCTTTTCTCCTAAAGGAACTAAGAAGGAGATATGTACAGATAAAGCTGGGGAGACAAGAATTAAAATGATTTCTTTTGTATGCCAAAGAAATGGAGTCACTAGTTTGCTGGGGGCAGGGAGTTAGAGTTCAGTTTTGAACATGGAAAGCTTGAAATGCATTTGAGATGTTCCCATGAAGTGAAGAAGGCTGGAACTCAAAGGAGAGACTAGGCTGGAGATGACATTCAACACCTCACTCACATCCTTGCGTTCTACATGCATGAGTTTCAACCACCCATATACTGAAGATATTGGGGGGGGGGGAATTGCATCTCTACTGAACACTACCTCTCTCTCTCTCTCTCTCTCTCTCTCTCTCTCTTTCTTTCTACAGGGTCTTACTATGCAGCCCTAGGTAGCCTGCAACTCTCTATGTAGACCAAGCTGGCCTCAAACTCACAGAGACACTCCCCCTCCCCTGTTTCTGCCTCCCAAATGCTGGAATTAAAGGTGTGCACCACCATACCTGGTGAGACAGTTTATTGTTTTTAGTGTTGTTTAAACAAGATGACATAGCACTGAAGCTGGGGATGTAGCTCAATTAGTAGAGTGCTTGTCTCACATGCAAAAATACATGAAGTCCCTGGTATCCTCCCCAGTACCATATAAAACCGGGTATGACAGCACATGCCTATAATTCCAGCACTTGGAGGCAGGAAGATCAGAAGTTCAAGGTTATCTTCAGCTACTTATGGAGTTTGAGGCCAGCTTGGGCTACCTAAGACCCTACTTCCAAAATGTTTTTAAATATATAATATGCTGGGCATGGTGGCACATGCCTTTAGTCCATCACTCAGGAGGCAGAGGCAAGTGGATCTCTGTGAGGTCAAGGCTAACCTGGTCTATATAGTGAGTTCCAAGCCATCTGGGGCTACATGGAGACCCTGTTCCCAAAACTAAAAAATTCAGTTCTCTCTCTCAATAAATAAATAAATAAATAAATAAATAAATAAATAACAATGATGTATATATTTATATTGTATTAGGTATTATAGGTAACCTTGAGATGATTTAAAGTGTATAGGAGGATATGTGTCAATCATATGTAAATACTCCATCATTTTACACAAGGGACTTGAGCATCCTGGATTTGGGTGTCCTGTGGGGTTTTGGAACCAACCCATTGTAGATTCTTAGGGATGACTGTACTCTTGGGAGTTATTGGTATACAAATGTATTTAAAGTCATGACACTGGATGAGTTTATTGAGAGAAGTATAGAGAGAGAACCTTAGGGCAAAGCACAGTCACTCAAGCATTTAGAAGTTGCAATGATAAGGAGGTACAGGAAAGGTGAGAAGAAAAAGAAAACTGGGCAGAGTCCCAAGGAGGAAATGGTAAACTGTTTTAGAAGAGTGTGGTAAACTATAGAAAATTTTGTTGGGAGCAGGATGATAAATTTGATCCCTGATACTGCATTTTGGCTGGAAAGTTATATCAAACTTTATTTACTTAGTTTTGTATTCTTATAGCCCTGGGATCAAACCCAGGGCCTTGCACATGCTAGAGGTATCAGAACTTAATTTGTTTTTGCTTAAATTATGGGGCTGCAGACTAAGATTATTCCATTTTTGGGAACATGACCACCATATATCTTCTTTATAAACCAATTGTCTCTCTCTCTCCCTCCCTCCC